TATTGTGGATCCAGTTTTAAAATGTTGGGGGGAAAGATCTTTTAATCAAAGATTTGAAGATCATTTTTTTTAATGAAAATTACTTCAAATGATCAAAAGGGATTTACATGACAGATCTAACAACATGGAACTTATCCACATGATAGTAATGATTGTTCTAATGATCAGAGAATGTTCAAATTACCTTCTACGTCATAAGCAAAAACACCGATGGAAACTTTGGGTCTTCTGAATTTTTTTATTACAATGATAAGTTAACATAACATGTTAATAACACTACATACATTCATACAGTATATACATGTGCTACAAACACACAGAGAAGACTAGACAATATGTCAGATTCCATGGTTTTTAATTTATGCTAACTTTGAAGAGATCTCCAACTGTATTATATTGTCAGGAAGGATATGAGATTGGTACTCCCTTAGCCTCCCGGGCAGGTAGAGTTTCTTTCTCAAATGTGAGATAAGTCTTAACCTGAGCCAAAGCAGCGGACATATGAAAATGGGAATTGCTTCTTTCAATCAAATGAAGGCCAGCTACAGCATCATCCCCCAAAATAACCACCCATCTTTCTTGCACACCCTAGACCTCTTTCAACTGCTGCTCCAGCTGGCCAAGGGGAAAATGCTTAAAAAGGGGACAACCTGTGCCCACCCCCTTCCTTGCGCTTTCCTTGTTGGGTTGGCTTTTTCTGGCAAGGAAAAAAGTAACCAAGAAGCAAAGCTAAAACAGCACACTGTTTGGGGAGGTGGCAAAGTTGCCCCTCCAAGCCATCAGAAAGCTATAGGGGAATGGCAGCACCTTCAGGCCCTGTGTACCTGCACTTGAGATTGGGTTAGGGAAATCCTGGGAGGCAGGATGAAGTTGGAGAGAAGTTCCTCTCCATGGGGAACCACCCATCTGCAGAAGAAATATAGCAGATCAATCTTTGCTGTGTTTTCTCTAGAGCAGCAGCTGGGCTAACTCACTTCTGAAAGTAATCTGCAGATAAGAGGAGCATCCATCTTGGGTTGGCGTCACCTTACTTTGAAAAAGCCCTAATCCATCATTCGGCTTTTTCCAAAACCATCCAGGCAAGAGGCTTTGGAAGTTCACAAATCACATCCCATGTTAAGGCTCAAACAGATGTTTCCCATAAACAGGGACCTTGTACTTTCTTTTTCAGGCTAAGTGCTTGCTTGCTGTCAGACTTGATCATGTGTCAGTGAATTGATCTTCCGGTTTTTGATGTGTGGATTGTGAGTGTCATGACTTTTATAGCCAAAAAAAGTTCCTCTCATGTACAGGAATTATATAAAATAAATCACAAAGGAGATTGAGTGGGCTTGTTGGCTATGGAATGCAATGTTTACTATCACCTGATTAACACAGCAGTTAGTTGAATAAAACTTTCCTGTCTTTGTTTTCCTTCCTCCCTCCTTCCCATCCCTTTGCACTGGTTGTTTTGTCTTCCTGTAGTAGAATTATTTGCTCTTTTTATTTATCCCCAGTTATAATTCCTTCCTGTTGGATCTTTAAGGAACCTCAGCTATATTCCTTATGATTAATTGTTGATGATCTGTTCCTGCATCTTCTAGGTGGGCCATGATGGGGCCACACCTGAAAGCTCTTGGCTTTTGGATGAAATCATTGTCATGGTGCCAACCAAAGGGGTGATATATACCTTTGTTTGCAAATGCTGGCTGGCCCAGGATAGGGGAGATGGTCTCACTTCACGTGTCTTCAACATCCTGGATGCTGATTGCATCAACATTGGCCTAAAGGTTAGTCCTACTGCTGGACCTCCTAACTCTCATTTGAAGCGAACATGTCATTTCCCTCCAATACTTTTTCTTTTCATTTGTTAAACAAGCAGGGTAAGCTGCCTATAGCCATTTTTTATGAGGTCCCCCAAACCCACACTTACTACTATAGGTGAAAATGGTGACATAATTTCTATGACAAAACTTACTGGGTAATGCTGAAAAAAATATGGAACACCCCAATGTATCTGTCCACCTCTGTTGGAGTTCTTTTTGGGGGTTTATTTATTTAATAACCAAGAATAAAGAGAGAGAGAGAAAATAAAAATAGCAAAAAGAAAGAAAAAACAACACAATGAAAATTATGGGAATATAATATTTCCTTTATTTACTGTTGTGTACACTTTTATAGAAATATAAATAATATATAAAACTCTTTGCACAACAGTTTCAGTAAACAATATCCATATTTCATTGTACTTGTCCATACATAATCTACTTCTAACTTTATCGTACATTGAAGCTGGGCTGTCCACACTGTATGTCAAAAACGTCAAGATGGCAGGCATAATGGTGCCGTTAAAGCTCTGGACATAAAAAACAGGTAGTTTTGATTGCGCCACTGTGAATGTCATCTTGACTTGGAGTTGAAATAACATCATTATATCCATAATTGCTCATTGAATGGACAACTTGATGCTAATTGAAGACTCCTGTCAGAGAGATGTGCCAACCTGCTATCATCATTGCCTTTCTCACTGAGACTTTAATCCCTTAAATATCTTAAAAATGGTTCCTGGCCACCAAAAGACTGCTACATGATCTGGTGCAAGATAGCTGCTTGGGACTCCTTTTAGCTCCAGCCAAAATGATGGAGTCTAAGAAATTGTGGGAGAAATATCTGAAAGGCATCAGATGGCCTATGCCTAAACTGTACTGACAAATACTCCTCGCTTTGATACCAAATTCTTCTGAAATAGTTGCCAAATATTTCTCCTTTAATGATAGTAATTATCACTGACTTAATGTTTGATTAGGGAAATTAGCAACGTCAAATAGGCAATGTCTGAATCTGCATAATCAGATACATGTATGTGTGGTGTGTGAGTGCCTATTATCTGTAGTGTTCAACACAATATGGCATGTCTCTCCCCCCCACCCCCGCCGCCCCAATATACTTAGAATTGTCCTAGTTCTGAAAATGGATATTTCATTGAGTTGTCATAGTAGGCTGTCTTTCAGAATTGGTCATCTGTTGGCCTTGGACATGTTGATGGATGGAAACTATATAAATTAATTCTGCATTGAGCCAACTTAGTGTAGTGGTTAAGGCACCGGGCTAGAAACTGGGAGACTGTGAGTTCTAGTCCTGCCTGAGACAAAAAGCCAGATGGGTGACCTTGAGCCAGTCACACCCTCTCAGCCTTAGGAAGCAGGCAATGGCAAACCACTTCTGAAATCTTGCCAAGAAAACTGCAGGAATTTGTCCAGGCAGTCCCCAGGAGTCAACACTGACTCGAAGGCACACACACACACAAAATGTATGAAGGGAAACAGGAATGGGAAGGAAGTCTAACTTGCCAGCTGATTCCAAAACATGTTTTGCAATGCAGAACTAGTTTCATCTTCAGTGTAAATTCACTCTCCTCTACTGCACCTAGATATACACCTAGCTGTATAAACAGAAGTCAATTTTCCGTTGCAAAGCCAATGACCTCATGATTCCCTACCCAACCCATCCTATCTAAAGATGGTGGTTTGGTCTCTGCATTTGTTGGTTGGTTCTATTTTGCTTTTTTAAAACTTGGGTGGCTTTTTGCAAAACCTGAACTCAGGAAATGCTTCAATTTCCCCTAGATTCTCTATGAAGTGACTGTGGAGACTGGGGATTTCTCACAGGCTGGAACTGACACTGGCATTTTTTTCACACTCTATGGATCCAATGGATGTTCAGAAGAGATACAGCTGGAAAAAAGTGGAAACAGGTAACAGGAGCACTTCAGCAGCCTACATTAACCTCTTGCTCTCCAGATAGGTTGGCATCTTCCAACTGGCTCTGTTGATCCAAGGTATTTGGAGAGTTGCAGCATGTGGAAAGCTACTTTAGATTTACCTATGTGCTGTTTACCTATGTGCTGCTTTAGATTTGAGGACTTCCCTTGGGATTAAATGGAAGTTTGGGAACCAGAGGAGCTGCAGATGACCCGTGAGATGAATGTACAATAGACAAGAGGACGTTCACACACACACAAGCGCACACACACACACACACACACACACCTTGGGTCTTAATGCAAGCACCCTTCTCTAGGTCTATGAGGATTTCTCCCAAATACTCTCCTCGTTCAAAAGTATATTTTAAAAGAACATAAGCGGTGGTCCTGCTGGATGGGAGCCTTGGCCCAGCTGTCTGTTCTCACAGTGACCAACTCCCCAAGGGAGCCCACGAGTCTCCCAGCAGATGGGCCTCAGGGGCAGTCCCCTGCCATCAAGGCTAATAACCATTAGAAGAACATTCTAATTCAGTGAGAACTAACAGAAAAAATGCCAAATAATGTTTCTGCCTAGTACTTGTTCTATCCGATCAATGATAGACAGCAACAGTATAGAAGCTAGATGTATAAATTGAAAAAACATACAAACAAACAAACAAACTAACAAATAAGATGGGCCACAATCTTGCTCTAGTCCAGCTCCAGTCTTGGCTGTTCTGGGAAAAGCTAAGCAGGAGAGAACATGATTAGTAGTTGGATGGGAAACCCCTATGAATACCCAGGGTGGAGGTCCAAAGGTCTCAGGGGACATCAATATTGGAATTAAGACTAGGGAAAAAACCTTCATTGTTAAATCCTGCCTTAACCGCTGGTTTTTTTTGGGGGGGGGGGTGCAAGGGGCTTTGGGAAAGTCAGGAATTCTCAAGCCCAGTTTTCTCAGAAAGAAAGTTGTCTTTTCTCTCACTTCAAGGTGTTTGTCCCTTTTCCCCCTCTGTTGTCTAGTCTGATTGATGGTGAATCTTCAGAGTCTCTAGCAAACTCAAGTCTTTTCCTACTTGTGTTACATAATCCTTCTAGTCTGAAGGCAAGATGCTGAAACAGGAATGTTTTCTGGAGGTGAAGCTTGTGCTTTAACTCCAGACTGAGCCAGGGTGGTGTAGCGGTTAAGGCATCAGGCTAGAAACCAGGAGACTGTGACTTCTAGTCTTGTCTTGGGCACAAAGCCAGCTGGGTGACCTTGGGCCAGTCCCTTTCTTTCAGCCCTACGAAGGAGGCAATGGCAAACCACTTCTGAAAAACCTTGCCAAGAAAACTGCAGGGACTTGTCCAGGCAGTCGCCAGGAATCAATGCTGACTCAAAGGCACCAAATAAATAAACACCAAACTATAATTCCATTATATGCAGATTCCTGAGTACACTGACAAATTTTGATAGCACGATTGCTAGAAATCAGCGGCAGAATGTCCTGTTATGCTGAAGTGCAAAAACATGAATGTTGTTGTGTGAGCCCTAAAATAAGCGTTAAGCCTAATAAAAATACTAAAGGCTTCCCCCACACCCAAAAACCAAAGCATAGCAAAAACCAAAAATCTTTTAGAATGCATCTTTTTTAGTGAGTCACACATGATGTAGAGCCGTTAAAGAGACCTATCTTTGTTGCATGAACTGAGCACAAAGACCGTTCTGCAGCAAACTGAGTTTGGGGACCTTCATAACGTATGCAAATTAAGTCATATTTACATATAGGCATCCTTGGTTTTCATAACTGATTCTGCCTCTGCCAGTCATTGGAATCTTATCAACCCTTCTTCTGAATTCCCAGATTTCATGAGATCTTCCTTGCAGAAGCATGAGGGCAAGAAAGGGGTTCCTTTTTCTAACCTTCCAGTTTTTACTAAGCTGAAATTGGGTGGCCACTAGTAAGTTCTGCCCCAATGCCAAAGGCATGCAGCTCTAAATTTAACCCCCGAATATGCCTGCCATGTGAGAATTGTTGAGGTAGCAAAATGTGGTTATTCACCTTCAGACTGGGAGCAAAGAGAGAGAGAGGCGGTAAATCTCCCCTTTCTTTAAGTAGTAGTGCAAGGTGATATATGTATTCAACTGAAACATCTTTTTAAATGGCCTCAGATAATAAGGCAATTTAATTTAAATCAGCATTGGCTGTGAAATAGCTCCAGGCATCACAAATATTGATAAGTGGACACAAGGGGAAAAACACCCAGGGGAATTGTCTGGAGAAATGAGTGCATCTTCCGAGTAAGGCACCTGATCAAGCCATTAATCTGCACCGTTTTCTCACTTTTCTTTTATTAGACTTTGCTTCAGATTTATGTTCTGGCGTGCATAAAAGTTAACCTCTCTTGCCATCCAATTCATGACTTGAGGACAACAGCCTCTGGTTAATAGCCTCATAGTGCAAGAACCCAGGAGTGGAGATGAATAATTCTACAAAAGAAACTCACCCACAGTTGCCTGCTGCTGGCTCACCCACTGGCCCACTCAGGCCACTGCTCTCTACGGCTGGGATCAGCAACGTTTTTAGCTGGTGGGCCTTGTTGCACAATGGAGCAAGTGCTAAAATTTGAAAATTAAGGAAGCTCATGAGTTTTTTGTCCATCTCAATCCCCTGCGGTCTTGCAAGAGAACACTGTGATAGTCAACAGTGTAGTAGTCAACCCTATGTATAGCCAACACTGTGATTCAGCAATTGTATGAGATGGGGGTGTCTCTACTGATAACTATAGCTATATCAGGGATGTGGAAAGCTTCAGATTTGACTTTAAAAAGGTGCTTTGAGGCACCTGGAAGTGTGAGTGTAGCTGCTGCCTGCAACTCTTTAAAACAATAATGTCCTTCAGAGAGCTGGTGTGGTGTAGTAGTTAAGTGGTTAGACTTAACACAAATGGGTGAATGCTGCAGATTAAAGGAGGGGAGAAGGCTAATATTTGAGGACAGTTCCCATTTTATCCTGCAGTGATACCCCCGACTCCCAGGCTTTCCATGATCCTCCACTAATTCACTGCCTATATCAGAGATAGGCATTCTGTGCCCCTTCCCAGCCTATTCCTCTCTCGTCTATCATCTCTCTCTCTCTCCCTCTCTCTCTCTCTCATCTATCAGAGATTATCTGTCACTCCAGTCCAGCAGGACTCAGCAGTGCGTACAGGTAGTCCTCAGTTACATTGCCCCGTTTGGCGACTGTTCAAAATTACGATGGTGCTGAAAAAGTACTTCTATGACCAATCCTTGAACTTACGAGCGTTGCAGGACCCCTGTGGTCACATGATTGACATTTATGACCTTCATAGCCAGCTTCTGACAAGCAAAGTCAATGGAGAAACCAACAGTGAAATTGCAGGTTGTGGTCACGTGAAGTCTCACTTAATGACCTTGTCACTTAACGATGGAGTTGCCAGTCCCAGTTGTGGTTGTTAAGTGAGGACTACCTGTATTCCCTTTTTACAGTAGCACAATTAAAATACAATACATTTATATATATAAATGGTTTTAAAGTGTAATGCCAGACACTCCTGTCCTCTGTACCTAGCCTTGGCAGTTTCTAGGTCATTCAATTGTCCTGATTGAAGTTGAAAAGATGTCTTCTAAGATTGACTCTTGACCCAGCCTCAGGCCAAGTCTGATTGGACTGGGAAAGAAAAAAGGTTGGTCTTGGCCAAATAGTGCCTTGGAGAGGGCCGGAATGTGTTACCATGGAGTTGTACTAGGAAGCTCTTCGGTTATCAGTCTCACTCACAACTAACCCAATTCACCCAGTGAAATTGTAAAGAAGCAGCACTAGCTAGACGTTCACCCACAGGCTACTATTTCCAGTTAAATGTAGCAAAACTAAAGGTTCCTTTGACTCAATTCCTGGTGACTTCAGGGACATGTCCAGGTAGCCTTTTTGGCAATGATAGAGAAGTGATTTGCCATTGCCTTCAGAGATGGAGATGGAGTTGGAGTTGGAGTTGGAGGTGGAGATGGACTTCCCATTCTAGCCTACAGATTTGGGATTTCCTGATGATCTCCCATCCAAGTGCTACCCAAGCCCAACCCTGCTTAGATTTCAGGAGATCTGTCAAATTTGGCTACATGCTACATCTTCTAACACACAGCTGTAGAAATAAATTGATGTAGACAAATGACAAAGACGTGGACATTTTTTAATATTTTGGGGGAACAACATGCCAGCGATTACTCTTAAGTTCTACTCCAACCTTCTCCAATGTGGCCAGGCTGGCTGAGGAATTTTGGCAGTTAAATCCCAAGCATCTTAAAAAGCATCCAGTTGATGTCCTATCAGATGTCAAGTCAGCCACATAAAAAATGAGCAAATGTCTCATCCCTTCCAGATTTGAAATTGGCCAAAAGGATACTTTTATCATGGAAATTCCAGATATTGCACCACTCAAGAAGATGCGCATAAGGACAGATGGGACTGGCTGCCGGCCTGATTGGTTTCTGGAACAGGTAGCATACCCATTCTTTAATGCCTCCATTATTTATAGAGTTTCCAATTTTTAGAGTCACTCCATTTTTAGAGAAGAGATACAGTAGGGGTGAAAAACTGAATTCCTGATGGGCCAGGAGATGGTAGGGGTAGGATTTAGGGGAGGGAAGTACTATCACTGGCACCCAATACTTTATGATAGTTCCCCATATTCTGTGCTAAATCAGTAGGGAGCCAGTGGTCTCTCTCTCTCATCCTTTGCAGAGCAGTTTATGGGGAGAGTATTTATTAAAATATTACTCCCCACTCTGGGCAACTTCCAGATATGTGGGCTTCAGCTCCCAGAATTTTCCAGTCACATGGGTGTTGCTGAGGATTTTGGGAATTGAAGTCCACACCTCTGAAAGTTACCCACATTGGGAAATACTGTGCTAGAGAAGCTGGATGAAGGTGCCATGTACCTGGCTGTGGAATCTGTGGTCTCTGGAAATTGGAGGAAATCACTCCTATTAGATGACTGAACAGGAAAGGGGAGGGGGGGGTGACAAGGGTTGGGAAGGACTCCGAGGGCCACGTGAGTCAATGACCTACTGCTGGTGTAGCAAATTGTGCAAAGCCTTGAAACTCTACCCCTATTGGCTGTTAAAAGATTGGTTACCTGCACTTCGCCAGGTAACACCCACATTTCATTCTCTCTGGGACCATAAGGGCTAAAATTAAAAGGACTTCAAAATCAATCAGCAAACGATGCACAAGAAGCATGGCCTGAGCCCACAAGATAAATAGTCCCTGTAGCCAGGCAAGCCCAGTGATGTCTTCAGTGTGTAGGGATTCTGCCAAGGTGCTTCTGAGCGAAAGGATAATCTGGAGGACTTTGGTTCAGGGATCCCTTTAGGCAATTATAGACCCTTCCCACAGCCTTTCATGCACAGCTGTATCTTCTCCAGCACACTAATTCACTCTTTCTCTCTCACACACACACATACACATGCACACACACACATATACAAGTGCACACCGAGGGAGAGATGCTTTAACAGAATCATGGGAGGAGTGACTTTCTTAGCAGTCTTGATATTTCAGTCCCCATCTGCCGCTCTGGCAATTCTAATGAATTTACCTTTGATCCACCTCTACTGTTGGCGACTGCAATTTGATCCTTGATGGAGCAAACTTAGAGGCAGGCCATACAGAAAGCAACAAATTGTCCCCACATGCCAACAGAACAAGTTTCAAGAGAAACTTACTGGTCTGGTAGCTGTTTCTCCAATTTAAGGGCCTTTTCCCATTCATGAAAATGCTCCCTACACTCATCCTTGAATTGGCAGAAAACTACCCTTGCATGAAATTTGCAGTCCCCAGTGTCCTGCCTCAGTTGCCTCTGTTCCCGGTCAATGCGGACCATCTGATTTCTCTCCAAGGTAATAGATGACAATGCCTAACAGATTTTACATGCCTTGAGGCAGCCCTTGGATAGTGACAGAATTAGAGGGAAAATGCTACCTTAACACACAGTATGGCTAAGGATGACTTTGGGTGGCCTCACTAATGGGCTGGGGGTGAGATGAAGGATGCTGCAGAAAAATGTTGCCAGGACAACCCTGTGCAGTGATGGGTTGCAGGAAGGGTGTGGCCCAAGAAACTAGAATTCCCATCGATACCATGCATTGGAAAATAGAAAATGTATCTCCTGGGCCAAAACTTAGCTCCATTCTCCAGGTTCTCTGAAGTCATGGCAACCACCCTGGGAAAGTTTTGGTCATTAAACAATCTACCTCACAGGGCTGCTACTGTGGGGACAAATAGGAGCAGGGAGCATTATGAGCACTTTGAGCTCCAGTACAAAAGGCGGGACGTAAATTAATCCGTAAATGAACATAGTTGACCTAGTACAAAACTGATCTAAGTTGGAGTCAGGTGATGCCTAAATTGAATTAAATAAATCAATAAACAAGGACACGAAAACTTGCCTTTCAGGCATCAATGCTCCAAATCCTTCTCTTCTGAAAAGGTTAATTCTGGAATATACATATAAGAAAAAATTGTCCTTAATTTATTCATCTGGCAAAGACTCTGTGTGCATGTGTATGCCTAGATATATGTATGTGTAGTATGGAAGGTGCTGGACTTGCATTGGGGAGACTTGGTTTCGGGCGCACTCTCAGCCACAGAAGCTCCTTTGGTGACTTTGGGGCCAGTTCCTCACTCTCTCAGCCCAACCTATCTCACAGGGTTGTGGTGGGGAAAATGGGAGGAGGAGCTGGTATATACTATGCTGCCTTGAGTTCCTGAATAAAAGACTAGACAGACAGACAGATGATAGAATGATCTTTTTCTGGTCTAGCCAGACAGGAGATGGATTTGTTCTGTCCTGGGACCATCTGTTGTGCTGAAGCTGTACTTGTCCTTTCATCACATCATCAAAATTACTGTGTCCCTCACTTCAAGTGGGCTCCTCCTTTGGAGGCCATCTAAATATATTCTATTTATTATAGTCCAAGATTTTGGAAGAAACATGAGGAATTTCTATTCTCTTCTTGGCAAGGGGATACATTTTGATAATGCTTCCTCTAGTCTCTCCCTTATCTTGGCAGCAATGAAGACCAAGGAGGTCTGTAAAGAAAGCCAAGTGTAACGTATAATTTTCCCCAATGGACACTCTGCTATTAGACTTTATGAGAAAAGCACTCTGGCATTATGCCAGGGCACCTGGTATCCATCACAAATTCACTTTTGTGAGGGGGGCTCCTTCAGGAAAAAAGTAGTTACTATGGACTTTTTAAAAGAATGTTCCATATTTGGTGGTGATAGATGGCCAAAGCAGTTTTGAATGCCTGCAATTCTTGAAAGGACCATCTCATCTCATCTCAGTTCAGATTTTCACTTTTGTTAGCCAACTTTTTTTCTTTTAGAAGTGCATCCAGATGGACAGGCACACACATACACACACACACACCTGTTTTCTCTTCTATTTTGATGTGCCCAGTATTGAAATTCTCTTGGCTGTTATTTTTTAAATAATAAATACAATTAAGACACAGAGCTGTCCAATAAATGAATACATAAATGATGTTTCTTTTTTCCAGCTGTGTTATGTATGCAGATTAGTATTTAGCTGTTTTGTTTTGATATCTTAGTTTCTTAGGCTACAATCCTCTAGTCCAATGAAGAATGCCCTGAGTGCTGTCAAAGTGCAAACTCAGTGGACACATCCATATATTTTTCTTGGAACTATTTGTTTGTATTCTTCTGAGGTGTCTTTTTCTGAGTTCCCCATGTAGCCTACAGCCCTGGAATATTCTGGTGGTCTTTCCCATAACATTTGAGAAAAAGATCTGCTCTCAGCGGGGTCTCGGCCCTTATTAGCTTCCTCGCCGTGAGCACAGAATCTCTTGCAGTCCTTCCTTTTCTAAGACTTTAGAAAGGACAAAAAAGAAACATGTTACTTGAAAATGAGTGGCATATATTTGCAGAATTGAAAACATTCCCTAAATGTACCCCCACCGCCACCAATCTAGAAACTTCAGTGCTGGAGCACACTTAGATTATATCTCACTCATTGGAATCAATAGAAGGATGGAAAAGAAGAAATCTGAAGACAGCTGCAGAAGGTAGAGTGGAAAAATAATCAGCTGTTCTATCTCCTCCATTTTAAACCCACTGGTGTCAGTCTGATAGGGTAGAAGGTGATGCAGTGTATCCCCATCAGAATATAGACTTGTCCTGCCCATCTGGTATTCTAAACTGAAGCACTTGCAGAAGATCTCCCTGAGAGTGATAGAAATACCAGAAGAGTAAGGAGAATTCATATTGCTAGAACTACTGCAGAGATTTCTTCCAGTCATAAAACTGTGGAGCATTCTGTGCACCAGCACACCATTTCATATGAAGTTAGCATGGTCGAGAAGGAATAGAAGTGAGAGGTGAGAAAGTTATTATCTTAAGCAGGTGGGAACTAGAGGGCAGATGACGGCAGTGTCTTATCAACAGGAGGGACGAGTTAGGTGAAGTTTTGGTTTTTGGCTAAAAGACTAGATGAGTCACCTGATGGGACATTTATTGAATACTGCATCTAGTTTTAAAGGGTTTATCCATTCTTTAAGAAAGACTATTTTTTTAAAAGATGAAACCACCCCAAGGTTAAAACTGAATTGCTGATTTCTTCTGCTGCTGCTTCTCCAGCATCTATACTCCTGGGATTCTGTCGTACAGCATTTCCTCCCAAATCAAGAGATAACCACACTCAAAATTGTACCTCAGTAGGTTTCAAAAGCATAGTGTGAAAATTGATCTGGACTCACATCAATTTCTAGTGGTGGCACATTTAGGAAAGAACATACGGATGTCGTTGTGGGGGTAGCACTGCAGACTACACAGATGGTGCACTACCAGTGCTAAGTAAAGATAAGAAAGCAAATTAAGCCATCAGCCTGATAATTTACTGTTTTGTTGCTAGGCAGATGCGTGGAACAACGATCTGAGCTTTCCTGTTTCAGGTCCATGACAATAGTTAAATGTGTGTGTATGGATGGATGGATAGATAGATAGATAATGGATAGAGAGATAGAGATAGAGATAGAGATAGAGATAGAGATAGAGATAGAGATAGAGATAGCGATAGAGATAGAGATAGAGATAGAGATAGCGATAGAGATAGAGATAGAGATAGAGATAGCGATAGAGATAGAGATAGAGATAGAGATAGCGATAGAGATAGAGATAGAGATAGAGATAGCGATAGAGATAGAGATAGAGATAGAGATAGCGATAGAGATAGAGATAGAGATAGAGATAGCGATAGAGATAGAGATAGAGATAGAGATAGCGATAGAGATAGAGATAGAGATAGAGATAGAGATAGAGATAGAGATAGAGATAGAGATAGGGATGGGGGAGAGAGAGAGAGAGATGTCAGGGAGAGTAATTATAACAAGTGGGATGCCTCAATCCCTGGGTTGCATTTAGATGTATATCTCAGTTGACAATGAAAAGAACTGCCTACTCCAGTACCAGTAGCATCTTTCCATATTGATAAATCTCATTTCCTTATTCATGACCCAGGGGGCTAGCGTGTGGGTGACTGCCACAGGATTTCTGAAGGACTGAGATCTCCCCAGCAACCAAGGAAACCAACCAGTTTCCTTAACTGGACAGTTTTCCTAGAACTATTCCCCTCGATCTTCTGTACAGCTCCAGATCACAGGGAAAGTCTTTGTGAACTGGCCAGCTGTGATGGCACCCCACCTAAAAGCTAAAGAACTTTTTTATTTTCTTAAAGTCTTGCATTCCTTTTTGAATTGTTTGGACTCACTGTTTGCAGTCCTGTTATCCATTTTACAGGAGTTTCTGATTTTATCCTGTCTTAGATATGTTTGAAGTTTACTCCTTTTTTATGGTTCCATGTGCTTTGCCGGTAACCATTCAGAGAATGTTGGTGTTTTGATGGTATACGAATACTGAAAAAAAAAAATCCTGCTTCAACACACATAGGGGTTTGGGGACCAGTATATGCATCTGTTATATTTACAATCCTCCAGGAGTTCAAAATGTACACATAACATTTCCTAATTGTTTATTCTGCAGCTGGAATTCATCCTGTTGGTTTGTTTTTTTCCTAGGTCATAATGAAGAATTTGACCACTCAAGAGGTCACCACGTTTACCTACAGCGACTGGCTCTCCAAGCAATGGGGGGACAATCTAACACTAGAGTGTGAGATTGCAGCAATGATCGACAATGAGCTGATGATGGAATACACAACATATATTATTCAGGTGAAGACCAGCGATATTGGAGGTGAGTTCATATTGAAGATGCCTGAGATTTGAGGAATCTAGTCCATCTGTATTACCACTGCCGATTATATTAGCTTTGGAAGCAAAGCCAGTATGATCTTTGGGAAATGCAAATAGCCCTTGCGAAATTTTTGCTCATTCATCAAAATGCTTTGGGGCTTTTTTAGGTTTTCTACCAAACCTCCTAATGTTGCTTTAGACAAAACCTGATATAAAGCTATGTCAAGCTTCAGGGGTGGGGAGGTCTCAGTACCTGAGAGAGATTGAAACTCTTTAGTGGTCTTTCGCTCATCTCCTGTGGATGGGTTGGAGGATATATTTTGCTCCAGCTCCGGATGACATACTGGTAGATATTAATCTCAAATATTGTCGGTGCTTATCAAATGATGTAAAAACTGAAAGATGTTGAAAAGGCAGAGATTCTCTCCTCAAGCATTAAATCCCTACTCCTTTATAGGTTGTAGTTACATTCAGCAACTGCATTGACAACCTTCTACATTTACTTTTATTTTAGGTTCTTGAAGGAATCCATAACGTTGGTTCGTTTGGTCCCCTAATTAACCATGTTCTACAAACACAGCCTACAACTCCATTCATTCCTAATGCTTCCTTAGGTTAGGCCAGTTGTCCCTTGCTTACCTCTGTTCCTTTCAGACGGAAGGCCTGGCACCTAAAATATTACTGCCAAGAGAGTGGAGCAGCAAAATGGCAGCTGGTCCTTCAGCTGATGGACCCACTGTTTTTCTAGCTGTTGCCTTCCTGCCCTATTTGTGAGCTTCTCAGAAACAGACAATCAGCTATTTCTGGAAACAGGAACGTGGGCTAGATGAATACTTAATTTATGAGATTCCACAGTTGTTTTTGCATTTCTCTGATGTTGCTGTCCCAGATGATAATGACGACGACATTTAAACTGGTTGGATGGACCTGTGATGGTAGAGGATATGGTTGCTATCACCCTTTACATCTGTGAAAGCTGCTTCAGGGATGTTGCTGGGCAGCAGGGAAAGAATCAAATCAATAGGAAGATAAGTTAATTTGGGTCTGCTGTTTTTGGACAGCAGCTTTTCCAGTTTCACCTGTGCTGCAGCTAATAGACTGGAGGCATCTTGACCTGGGAAAAAAACTGTCCAGTCTAGATTCACTCATGGATACCATGGCCCTCAGTTTCTGCACCATGCAGGGTTGCTTTGAAAGCCTTCTCTTATGGAGACTTACTTTTCCAATCCACACTGCTGAAATATAGAGTTGCCTTTGCCATTAGTCAACAGACAATGATTACAGCAATAGTCCATAATGAGCAACTAGACAGTGGCTTAACGCTTTGTTCCAAGCAATTATTTGCCCATTACATTTGCCCTCTTCTTTTCCTTCCCTTCCCTTCCCTTCCCTTCCTACCACAAAGGATGCAACACATTGTCTCAGTTATAGATTGGAACCAGATTTCCTTAACTTTGCTAAAACAGATTCCTGTCCTCAAAACATGTTCTGCCCTCTTTTGGAATATACTATGACTCTTATGCAGTGGCCATGCATATAGGGTGGAATTTATAAGGCAGTAGCCTCTAAGTGTTGGCACAATTTGTGCAATTTTTAGAGGCATGTCCCTGATTTTTGCAGTGGAGAAGATGTGTGGTGAAGTTTGCCTTAACTTTAGCAGTCCTGGCATCTTGCAGGCCCAGAACTACATCCTATTTATGTAGTGCCCCCTCCCCTGGAGACCCCAGGTGAATTTTGGCTTCCCACCCCCTTAAGATATAAAAGATAAAGTCTCCTTTAAGGTGACCTCAAAACCTCAGTAACTTTATGGACACACCCATGCAGGTTTTTTGGCAACAGTACCAAAGTGGTTCACCATTGCTTTCTTCTGGAATGTTTATTCAACCTCCCAATCTAGCCCATAGCCCAAGAATTTCCTGGTAGCCCCCCATCCATGTACTAACCTGGTCCAAACTAGCTTATTTTTTTCAAGATCAGCCAAGAATGCCATCTATCTTTGCATTTTCAGATGAGAAACACACTCAGAATTCTGCCTTTGCCCAAAATTAGGTTAACTCAATTAAACACATGCACAGGCACTCCAAAACAAAAAAGCAGAATGTCCACACACAGGATGCAGCCTTACTCACTTTGTATTATCGCCCAGCCATCTCTATGTCTCTGAAAAAGTTAAGAGCAGCCCTGCCCATTCAGGTGGGGCTTTAAACCTTGAAACAGAAGTGGGGACACTTCTGATTTCTATCATTTTATTTTGCCACAGCTGTGCTGTGCAACTCTCAGCTGCAATGCAGTTCTGTTCTTAGCAGGTTAACCCAATGTTCAGTGGAAAATTCAATGATCCCACTAAATGATAATAAAGTTATTCCATCCAGCAGTGATCTGAGAACTGGGAACTTGAGTCTAGGCTTCCTTATAAGTGGGCACTTTGAAATCCTAACACTTGAGACCCAAGAAGATCAGGCTCTAAATATTGTACAGGTAGTCCTCAACTTATGACCATTAGTTTAACGACTGTTTGAAGTTACAATGGCGCTAAAAAAAGTGGCTTATGACCAGTCCTCACACTTACAACCATCGCAGCATCCCCGGGGTCATGCTATCAAAATTCAGGCACTTGGCAACTGGCATGTATTTACAACGGTTGCAGCATCCTGGGATCACATGATCACCATTTGTGACCTTCCCAGGGGGCTTCCGACAAGTAAAGTCAGTGGGTGAAGCCAGATTCACTTAACAACTGTGGTGATTCATTTAACGATTGTGGCAAGAAAGGTCATAACATTGGGTGTGACTCACTTAATGACTGCATCACTGAGCAAAGGACATTCTGGTCCCAATTGTGGTCATAAGTTGAGGATTACCTGTACATGGTAAATTTGGTATTTCTTTAGACAAGACATTTTGGGGGTAAAATTGAGCTTCAGGAGGGAAATTGAGGAAAAAGCTGAGCCCATAGGTATCAAACTGGCAAACATATCTGTTGTTTTCTAGGAAATGAACAGTGATGGGTCTTAATGGTGGGCATTCTGCCTTACTATGAGATAAGACAGCTAGTGGGATCAAAAACAAAGAACAAAGTTTTTGAAATTATACAGCCTAAGAAGACATCTGACGGAGACTCTTATGCACCTTCCAACATAGAAAGAGGGACATGATTTAAAAAGAGTTATAGCTATTTTAAAAAAAGTGAGGTACAGTCAAATTTCATGCAGGAATTGGGGGTATTTTTCAGGCTGGTCAAGTTTTTTTTTCTGGTTGCAATTAAGGAGGGAAATGCTAAAGGTCAAGGGGGTCATGTCATTGGTCCAGTGACATTGCTCGAGTTTTCCAAAAAAACTTTGTGTGAGTTTAAGAAAAATATGAGCTAGGTCCATTGAGCTTATTGAAAGCTTCACACATAGATTTCACTTGTTTCAATCATGCCAGGCTAATCTGTCAGTTTGCTTCTCGGGGATCTGGGATAGGGCCATAGAGTGGGTGTTCCAGAACCACCCCTGTCCTTTTGCAACCTAACCCTCTTTAATTTGTCCTTGTGGGCCTGGATTTATAAGAGCTGACATCTCAGTGTACCAGGAGTCTCCAGACTGGGAAGGCTGACCCAAATCCCGCTCCCTATTTAAGTAAAAAAGATGAGGATTGCATCCAGCAGAGTTCCCCAATAACTTCTGGCCACATTATTATTTATTCTAAACTTTCAAAACTTACTCATTGACTGAATATTCAGTCCATATCACCCAGATAAAGAAGAACTTTCAAAGTAATTGCCTTGTTTCTTGGTAAACCAAGACAGATGCTATTGCTGTTAAATGTGTTCCCCAGCCCTCTGGACTTCTGAATACCACGGTTTTCTGAGACCTGGGATCTGCTCTGGAGGAAAGTGAGATTCCCAAATGCAACTCTTGCATTCTAACTAACTACATATGTGTGTGAAACAGTGGCTGTCACTGAACATCAACCAAGAGCGAAGAAGAGAGATGTTTATCCTGGATGCAAAGCCAAGTAGGACGCAGTACTCAGTACAGAACCTTTGAGAGCTAAAAGCTCATAGAAAATGTCCTGAGCAGCTGAGGTTAAATAAGTGATGCTGGAGAAGGCCTCTGGCTGTAACCCCTGAATGCCACGGCAGAGCTGGGCTGGATGAACAAACAATCTGACCTGGAAAAATGGTTTGGTAATTTCTATAAAGTAGGTAACGGGGACCAGTGGCTATGTGACCTTGAATTCATTTGTGGGTGATTTCTGGAGCCTTGCAGAATTGTGGCCCTGGCCAGGTCCACTGAATAAAAGGTGCACCATTTTCTATAAATTGGCAGTGGGACAGGAAGTAAAACGTTTTGCTAGATGTCCAACAGGTCAAACAAAACATATCCCAAGGGAAAATCAGGACAAAAATTCTGCTGCTTCCTCTCTAGGATACCATTCCACCACCAGTTTGCCCTCAGCATCTCTTGCCTGCTAAAGTCTTTGTCATCACCACCACCACCCTCATCTATAAAAACTTTGCCCCTCATTTGGTTTAAAGCATTTACCTCCTGCCTTTTAGCTTGAGGGCCCTAAATAATAAATAAAGCCAGGCAGTTCCCAGACTCACAACTGAAAAAAAGATGTGACATGAAAGTAAAGGAAGAGGGGGAGAGAAAAGGAATCAACAGACACTCATTCTTAATATTTCATTATTCGAAGGGAGGGCAATAAGCAGCTCAGGGAGAATCAGAAGACTACTATATTCCTTGCTGATCCTTGATGAAGTGGGAATAGGGACTCATCCTGTAACAAGAGTGGTGAGGGATGGTGTAGTCCCTGGCTGTTCCCTTCTTATTGTACAAGGCAGCTGCTAGGTCCTCCAACTTTATGGAGTCCAGAATCAATGTTCACATGTCTCCACACACTTCCATTTGCACTGCCATTGCCTGCCAGACTAAGTTTCTTCTAGGATTCCCCCCGGGCCTCCTAGTGAACTATATCTAGTCCACCTTATTTAGTATTTGTTGTGTTCGGTTACCTGGAGGAAAGTTTAGTTAAGAAGGCAGAGCAGGCAGGTCCGACTCACACACTCTGATTGTTTCAAAAGCAAATCCTGTGGCATGAAACCCAGGCAGGTTTCATCCTGCGAGCAAAATTTTGCTAAGATACTGCTATATCCATGCCTTTCAAGGCTGTTGCCTGACTGCAAACTCCAAGAAAAGAAGGCAAATTTAGTTTTGTTCATACACACACACACACACACACACACATCCCACAGTTCTCAGGGTCATTGAAGCACCTCCAGACCAAATCAATGAACCCCTGGCCCTTTACTTCTTTTTTCAAATTGTCTTGAGGAATAAATGCCAGTTAAGTTCTTGCCCTTCACTTGCTATTTCAACTTTTCATTTCTGCACCCATTTCTCTGGACTTCTTCATTATACAACATATCCATTGTTCATTGCAGTTCTCTCTTTCTTCTTCACACACACCGTGTGCATGCACATGGAGGCAAAATTTATTTCTTAACCTACAGTATTTAAACTTCAAGGGTTTTTGTTTGTTTGGAGGAGAAAGACCAGGCAATGCTTGGTTATAACTGGGTATAATCTGCTAATTTCTAAGAGGTCAGATGAAACAGATGTTTTGAGGCCCAGGCTGTACTCCTGCCAGTACAAACCTCAAGCCCTTCCATCAATTATGCTAGAAAATGGCTACCCGTATGCCGAGCCAAGTAAAAAGTTTTTTATTTAAATTTATTGTGTTTATTTAAATTTATTGCCCACCACTGGACTCTACAGTGGATGCCAGAAGATTCAGTTCCAGACCATGTACTGTTCAACATTGTTATGAATGATTTGGAGAACTGGGTGAAGAAGGTGCTTAACAAGTCTGCACAAAATTGGGTGGGATAGTTCATGCCTTAAAAGACAGAAATAACATACAAAACATACTTTTGATAGGTTAGGGATGGGCTGTAAATAAAAGAATAATATTTAAGCAAGACCTGTATTGGCACTGGGACATACAAAAAAACAACAACAACTCTTGGAATAGTTGAATGGTTACAGCCAGAATATGAATCAGTAATGTGATGTGGCTATAAAAGAAGCAAGTGAGATGTTAGGGTACATCAACAGAATTGCACATTTGCAAATCATGGGGAATAATAATCCCACTTTGTTCTGCATTGCTCAGAGCCCCCTTTGAGTGTCATGGTCCAGTTATAGGCAGCGCATTTTAAGAAGGTTTCAGAGAAACTGGAATGATTTCAGAAAGGGGAAGTGAGGAAGTTCAGAAGACTAGAACACAAATCCTATGAAGAGAGATTGAAGAGTTAAGAATTTTGGCCTTGAGAAAAGAAGACGGAAGGGGAACTTGAAAGCATTGTTCAAATGTCTGAAAGTCACAGAGAAGGTTAAGATCTCCCTCATCCCAGAGGAGCGCTTAATAAAGGATTTAAGTTTTAGGAAGGCAAATTCCAGTTGAATTTTAGGGGGAAAAAAACTGAATGGTAAGAGAAATTTGTCAGAAATGGGATGTAGTCAAGAGAAGCCTGGACAGACATCTGCCAAGGATGCTTTAATTTGGATTTCTGCACTCAGCAAGGGCTTGGACTTGATGATCTTAATGGCTCTTTTCAACTCTATGACTTGATTAGAATTAGAATGATGGGAAGCTTCAGATATAAAGATGCATCTTGCCTTTTCTTCTTCATTTAAATACTGCACTGGTGATAGGGTGGCCATGTGTTTTATTTTGCAGAGGACAATCCAAGTCCATCTCAAAGATATAAGAAGAAGGAGCAGCCTCTGCTCTGAAGGTCTCTTCCAGTAATTGACATCTGCAGAGTGGACTGAGCAGACACAAAGGTCACCTGGTCACACTCTTTCCTCCAGTGGGAAGATATATTTTGTTCCTGTATAAATTATAGCAACCGTTTCTAAAATCAAATCAATGCATATAAATTAACGCAGGCATTTTTTAAAATCCAGCCCTGTGGCCATCCTTTGGATGGACAACTGTTACAGTTCCTCAAGACTCTTTGCTGGCTTTTTCCTAGAAAACTGGATTATTTTACTACAAGAACTAGAATAAATGAGAGTCTCCATCCTATTTATTTCTGTCTATAGACTTGCAGCTCTCTCATTCAGCATGAATGTCTTCTGATATCCATTTCTCTCACTGCTTCCCTGCAGGTGCTGGAACAGATGCTGATGTATTCATGATTATTTGGGGGGAGAATGGGGACACTGGGACTTTGGCTTTGAAGGAATCAAACAAGTCCAACAAGTTTGAAAGGAACCAGTTGGATGTCTTCTATTTTTCTGACATCTTCAGTCTTGGCGATCTCTGCAAAGTGCGCATCTGGCATGACAACAAAGGTAAAGTCAACAGCCGTGGTTCATTTTAAGGGACAGCCTCTGAAAGCCTTGAGAATAGCCCTCAAAACCTCTTTAAAACTGAAGAGGGAACCTATTAAATAAAGAGAAGTAATCACTTGAGCTTTCTTTGATTAATTCAATTTTATTTCACTTTTTAAAAAATCCATTTCATTTTTTGCTATGGCCTTCCCCACTTCTTTGTCTTGGCAATGAACAGAAGCCTAATATTGTGCTCAATCTCCCGCCCCCCAAAAAGTGATCTTTTTTAAAGGCTTAGCTAAAAAGCTGCCTTCTTTCCCCCCCAAAATAGGTACGTTTACATTTAAACAGTAGCAAGCAGAGTTTGGTCTACAGGTAAGATGTTGAACTGGACTCAGCCTAAGTTCTAGATTTGCTTTAAGCACAGAAGCCAGCTGAGTGACTCTGGGCCAGTCCCTTTCTCTCAGCCCCAGGAAGAAGACAAGGGTAAGCCATTTCCAAAAATCATGCCAAGAAAACTGCAGGGACTTCTCCTTGTAGTTTCTGGGAGTCAAGACTGACTTATGGATACTCACCAAAAACAAACAAACACCAGAAACCTGAAAGTGAAATAGTTGTTTATTTCATGCTCACACACCCCTCTGAACCCCACATCTTCAGTGTAGTTTATCTTATTCAGATCATTGCTCCAAGCAGTGTTTCTCAACTTTGGCAACTTTAAGACATGTGGATTTCAATTTTGTTTTGCATGCTGGCTGGGGAATTCTGGGAGTTGAAGTCCACATGTCTTGAGAAACACTGGCTCATGGGTTTCCATTCAGAACATCTGGATTTCAAACCTGGATCTCTCCAAGAAAGGAAATGTCCAGTCCAAACTCCAGGAGACCCTTTGCTAGTTAAAGAAACAAGATTGATATAGACCAGTGTTTTTCAAATTTGGCAACTTTAAGATATGTGGACTTCAACTCCCAGAATTCCCCAGCCAGCATGCAAAACACTGATACAGACAAACCAATAATCTAGCTCAGCATAAGGAAGCCTTCTGATGCCCTGTCTTTGGATAGATTTCACTTTCAAGTAATTCTGTTTAGGGCTTATGCCTTGAGATGGGAGGAAAGTATGTCATATTGAAAACAGCCAACCCACAGCATGCCCTTTACTGCACCCTAATCCTTGGAAGAATCAGAATAAGGGAAAAAATACCACAGGAAATGCCACCTTAACCCTGACTCACTCATGGGCTGAGGTCGAGATAAGGGCGATGTTATGAAGGCAGGGAGAAAGGTGATGGTTAAGTGCAAGTTAGTGGGGATACGACCACAGCGGGGTTGGAAAGATCTAGCCAGGAGATTTCCAAAGAGGTAGGAAGTGAAAGCACAATGATTTTGGGACCTTCTGAAACATTTGGGTGGTATTACCAAGCAGGTGGTCCTGCTCCCTGCAAATCCGAACATGAAACACACAGCCATGCAGTGAAACACACCACCGTTTGCCTTCAGAACCAATTTCGCGTCCTTTTTCCATGCTGAGAAACCAGGTCCCTCTGATTCCTGTTCTGTACCAGCTGCCCTCTGTCCAGTACAGATCTGAGGCTGGAAGGCTTGGCTCATCGCCCAGCAATCCTGCTGTAGAGTCCAGCCCTTCTCTTTGCTCTGTTGCCCTCCCATTCCCTAAAGTGGACCTTCAGGAGAGACCTCTCTGAGAAAAGGTTGACTGCCTTGGCCTAGGGTCTTCTAGTCATGCCAGTTGAGTAATCTCTAAACAAGAGGCTGCCTTCTGATCTCCAGACTTCATTAACTAGGAGAAGGAAAGTGTGTGTGTGTGAGGGTGGGGGCAGTATCCTGAGTTTTTCTGCTCTCATTTTTTCTTGTGGCCATTAAGGGATAAATTACAATAAGTAGTAATCAACAAAGCAGGCAAAAAAACATCCATATGACAGGCGAAACATTAGTAAGGATTGGCTAACCAAACAGCAGGCAAAGGA